CGAAATGCATAATTGCTAAATTCCCTTCTTTTGGAAGGAAATTTGCTACTTCTCTCAAGCACCCGAAACATTAATTCTCGGTTGAGTATGTGATACGTCTTCAAAGTATCTATAATTTTTTATTGTTGCATGCTATTATATTATCGTTTTTATATGTATATATCATTTTATATTGTTTTTATGGACTAACCTATTAACTCAGTGCCCAGTGTTAGTTCCTGTTTTCTACATGTTTTTGGTTTTTCAGAAAATTTATACCTATAGAAGTCCAAAACAACAAAACTTTTTGACGATTTTTTCTGGATAATAAGAGACTCTAGAAGCTTTTTAGGAGGATCAAAAGACTCACGAGGTGACCACAAGGCAGGGGGCGAGTCCGGGGGTTAGGGCGCGCCACCCTTGGCTTGTGAGCCCTTCATGGCTTTATTTGGAAAAAATTATCACCTGATTGACGCCTTAGTTATGGTCAAAATCTTATGCAATTTGCAAAAACTAAGTTATTTTGGGAACAACAATAAAATTTGAAAATGATGTATGGTCAAAAGTCAAAATAGCAATGTACTCCCTTTGTCCAAAAAGCTTTTCTTAGTTTTTTTTTAAAATACCGGTGTATACATTTTGTATATCTGTATCTAGAAAAATCTAAGACAAGCTTTTTGGGACAGAGATATAATAAAATAAAGGGAAAAACTTACCTTCAGTCGGCCGATCGCGAGGGCGCGTCCGCCGGCTCCGTGTCCGTCAGATCCTTGTTGTTCAGATGGACGAGAGCACCCCCATGTACTTGTGTTTCTGCAACCGAGCCTTTGTTTTGAAAAGGAGAGTCTTGCAACTGCCTGGCTTTTTGCAGCGGCCGTGACTCGTGCGGCCAGGAGGGCGATGGCAGCGAGGAATCTCGCCGGATCCGACGAGGATGGCGCATGGGCAGGAGGCAGGGACGTTCAGGAGCCGCGGGGGCGGAGACTCGTGCGGCTAGGAGCGCGACGACGGCGAGGATTTCAGCCGAATCTCGCCGGATCCGACGAGGATGACCCACGGGCAGGAGGTGGGGACGCCCGGGAGTGGCTGAAGCTCGTCTCAGCAAGGACCCGTGACGATACCAGCGAACGACGCTCCTGCGGCGAGAGATACAGAGAAATGAAGAAAACAGAAGGAAGATGAGGATGGTGACGAGGTGACTTTGGTCGAAGGTCCGGTGCTCACCGACAGCGGTGCGAGGGTGGGGACAGGCGGCGCCAATCCTCCCTCACAACCATCTGGTGAAGCTCGCGGTGAACGACGGTTTCAGAGGAGCATGTTTCTGAATAAATCTCTTGTTGCAATAGTCAGTGTGTTTCTGAAACAAAACTCTTGTTGCAAAGAAAGCATATGCAGAAATTTTTAAAATTCTGCAACAAGACGTTTGTTGTGAAAAAAATTCTGAAGCAAGATGTCTGTTGCAGGAAAAAAGCACGCATGAGTGGTCTTTGAAATTGGACGCCGCTAACTGCCACACGTGTGGGCGTTAAGGAATCTGCCCACACGTTCTGTGTGGTGCCTAAGAGGACCAGTCCACACGTCTGTGTGTGGGCAAAACAACTAGCACCCACACGCCTCTTTTTTTCCTTCCCGGTCCCTCTTACACGCGTGCGTGTAGGCGAAATAGATAACGCCCACACGCCCCGTACGTCAGGCCTCATACCTCGTGGTCCAGCACGCCCCAGGTGACACTTTACCGCGCGCCCCGCAGTTGCCATGGGCCGGACCCTCGTCCATGTTCGTTTAAGTGCAGTTGTCATGTCGTTGAACTACGGTTGCCATGTCGGACAACTACAGTTGCCATGTTTGCTCAACTGCAGTTGCCATCTCAGGTCAAAGTTTCAGATTGCCATTTTTTGGACAACTACAGTTGTTGCCATGTGTGGTCTGGTCTAGTGCAGTTGCCATGATTTCAAAACTTTAGGAGTTGCCACCTACTAACACTAGGCAGTTGTCATGTAGCGCTACAAAAAAAGGAATGGCAAAAAAAAAATGTTCGGGTAAAACAGAGAGTTGCCATGTGCTCACAAGCACGCTAGGGCAGTTGCCATTTAAAAAAGAAAGAGTTGTCATCTGCTTACGTGCACGCTACGGCAGTTTGCCATGTACCATGTCAAACATATGGCAACTGACATGTTCGAGTAAAAAAAAGAAAGTTGCCATCTGCTTGCAATCACACTAGGGCAGTTGCCATGTACACTGCAAAACGCATGGCAACTGGCAGATTGGGTGTGGGAGAGGAGGCGGGCGTGTGGGCAAGATGGCAAACTGCCCACACACCAGCCCTTGTGCGTGACCGAAACTGATGTGTGGGCGAACTGCTAAACGCCCACACAACGGCCCCTCCGTGTGGTAAAACGGATGTGTGGGCGACCTCTCTCACACACCACACACGCGAGTTGTCCTACGTAGCATACAGAATCAGCTAATTCGTGCCAAGATTCGTGCAGAAGTTACTGAACGATGATGGAGATGTGTGGATGAGTTGGTTAACGCCCACACGTATGGGCGTTAACATTTCTGTTCTACAACAAGATCTCTTTTGCGAAAAAATTCCTAAATAAGATATCTGTTGCAAAAAATAAAAAACACAGATTCAGGTGGTTGCAATAAGAACACCACTCTTATTGTAAAGAGTGGTTGCTTACGTTATGTTGGTAGATCGGACGGTTATTAATGTGTCATGGTCAGCAAGGCGGCGGAAGTTTTTCGCCGCGTAGCGTCGCCCTAAAATAAACGAAAACACTAACGCCCACACGTGTGGGCGTTACCCAACTCGCCCACACGTCCGGATCGCCGTTCACTGTCTTTTGCACGAATCTTGACACGAAAAGGTGGATTTGGTGTGCCACGTAGGACGGGGCTGGTGTGTGGGCGTTGGAGATTTTGCCCACACGCCCGCACCACGCTGTTTGCCAGCTGCGTTGTGTGGGCGAACTGCTTTTCGCCCACACAGTCACCACCTAGGTCATGCGCGTGTGGGCGAACTGCTTTTCGCCCACACGACACTCTTATCTTGTGGATGGCAACTGCACTTACGCGAACGTGACAACTCGGTACACACACATGGCAATTGTGATTCTTTACTATACGGCAACTGCAGTTACGCGAACGTGGCAACTCGGTACACACACATAGCAACTGTGATTCTTTGCTACACGGCAACTGCAGTTACGTGAACGTGGCAACTCGGTACACACACATGACAACTGTGATTCTTTGCTACACGGCAACTGCAGTTGCGCGTACGTGGCAACCCGATAAACATACATGGACACTGTGATTAACAATACATGGCAACTATGGTTGGACCACACGTGACAACTAGGTAAACACACATGGTAACTACTGTTTTGACCATATGTGGCAAGTAGTTAATCACACACGGCAACTACGGTTTGATTACACGCGACAACTACCATAAATTAAACATGTCAACTATAGTTAACCAAAACAGATAGAGTTGCCATGCTTTTACAACTACACTTGCCATCCCAAATAACTACATCTGCCAACCAGAATAGCAACTAAATCGTCATCCCGCGGGGTACCAAACGTAGCTGTGTCAGGACGTGTGGGCATTTTTGTTTCGTGCCACACGCACGGGGTGGAGATGAGTAGTATTTGTTGGACGTATGGCACGAAGTAGCCGCGCCCACACGTATGAGCAATTCTAATGTCCGCCCACACACAGCCCGTGTGGGCTGCCTCCTACTTACACCACACACGGTGTGTGGATGCATGTCGTATATGCCACACGTGTGGCAGTTATCAGCGTCCAAAATAAATCATTTTATATAAGGCTGTCCGGCCGAGTACACGCTGCTGCCACCGGGTCCCGCTCGTCAGACCTTTCCCTAACCTCTTGCTCCGCCTCTCCCTGCCGGCGCTGCCGCACCGCTCTCGCCTGCACCACCGCGCGAAGAGAGACCGCGCTCTCCTCCGCCTCCCGTCGCTCAGACCCGCAGCGGACCGACTCCCGCTCGCGTCGCATCGACCTTAGCTTCCCGCGCGCTCCGGTGCCTCCGCCGCCGCGCTCGAGCCGCCTGCACGCGCTACCAAAGCCTTCCTCACACCTGCCCGCGTGATCTCGACATCTCGTCGCCTGCACGCGCGCTCCCTCCCAGCGCCCGCAGCCGAGCACCTGCCGACTCGCCTCGCCCGTGACCGCCCCCCCTTCACAAAAGCAGAGGCCGAGCGACCCCCGGCGAGTTCGCCTCGCTCCCCTCACTCACTTTTACAGCGCGCCATTGGACTCATATCTAATTTTCCCCTGATTTAATTTTCCAGGTTCCCCGCACCCGAGATGGAGTTCCAGATCGGCGCTGTCTTCCCCAGTGCTGTGAAAAACTGTCTGCAACCGCATCTCCCGTGCTCCGGTGAGTTTGTGTACAGCCTCTTCGCTCCAGTATCATCGCCTTGACTTTGTGTGCTCCCCTGTGAACCACATTGCCGTTCGGATGCACCCCGTTTTGCTATTACCGAGCAAGGATTGCCGCCGCCTTTGGCTTCGCCTTGCAAGGTCACCAGCACACCACCCTATGCTTGTATGAGTGTCAAGGCAACCCACATCTTCCTTGGCACATGTATGCACTGGGGTTCCATTTCTTACATCCCCAAGCCACCCCGCCGCTTGCATCGCCGGCTGTCACACTATCTGAGTCATGGTCTCATAGTCACAGGTCATGGTCATGTGGCTCTGTTTCTCATGGAACCTGTCAACTCTTATCAAGAGATACATTGGCACTGGGAGACAAACAATTTTTTGAAGCACGTACAGAGCATAGCAAAGTCATTAGGTACATAACTAATTTTCATGGCTAACAGTATAACGCGTCACAATTTTGGAAGTAACACAAATATACCTCCAGCCATAAGCCGTGACCATTTGCATAGTAAATACAACTGTCGTTTTAAATCTATAAACATACGTATCATATCATTTAGGCATTCAATCGAGCTAGTTTCCCTTGAGAAATAGGTTATGCGTGCGTCGAGTGTGAGCTTCCACCAATAGCTTGAAGTAGTCTTGGCATTGGGGGCATTCTGATATCAACTAGGCCCTCAAGAATCTGAACCACCTGTCCCATTGTTGGTCGACCAACCTCCTCATCTTGGATGCACCAGCATGCAACCTTGCAAACCAGCTCAGCCTCATCCAGATTGACATTACCATCTAACTTCTGATCCACCAAACTCTCGACGTCTCCTTCAAGAAGCTTATGTGTGGCATGCACGGGGAAATAAACATCAAGGTTGCCATCACTCGTACATGGTCCACACGAGTTCCTCCTTCCAGATATTATTTCCAGCAACACCATCCCGTAGCTATAAACATCAACTTTTGGTGTAATAGGAACACCAGTAATCCATTCAGGTGCAAGGTACCCTGCGGTTCCTCTGACTGTAGTCAAGACTCGGCTATGATCCCTTCCTAGAAGCTTTGCCATCCCAAAGTCTGCAATTTTTGGGAGGATTGAAGCATCAAGCAATATGTTTTCTGGCTTAATATCACAGTGTATGATGCAGTCTCGACAGCTCTCATGCAAGTAGGCTAACCCTCTGGCAACTCCCAGGGCTATCTGATAACGAGCAGTCCAATTCAACATAGTGGAATTGTTTTGAAATAGATGGACATCAAGAGAGAGGTTCGGCATGTATTCATAAACAAGCAATCTCCTAGAACCCTCACAACAGAAACCAACAAGCTTAACTAAATTGATGTGCTGAACAGCTCCAATCGAGCTCACTTCGGCTCTGAATTGCTTCTCTCCTTGATAAGCACCATCAAGCCTCTTCACTGCTATGGAAACTGAATCATTTATAAGCCCCTTAAATACGGAACCAAAGCTGCCTCTCCCCAACTTCTCTGTGAAATTTTTCGTTGCACGGTGTAAATCGGTGTATCTAAATGCAATGATTCCATTACAACCTAGAGCATCATTCAGTATGCGGCCAGAGTTTTTCCTGTTGTTTCTCCAAATCATTACTAGGAGGATGAGTGCGAATAAGCCTAGAGCACAAATGCCTATACCAGTTGCAACTCCAATGACAATCCTTTTTCTGTTGTTTTCCAAACTTTGAATATCTTTAGCAGAAAGGCGAAGGTAAAGAGTTTCTTCATTTGAATTGGTGCTGCCATCACATTGTAGTTGTCGTATGTTGAGCAGTTCATTATGCCAGATAGAACATCCACCATTGCTGAAGGAATACGCGGTGCAAGAGCAGTTATTCAGGCAAAATTGTGCACACTCATTCGCACTTTTAGCAACTTCTACTTTTACAGCATTCCGGGGCAACCCGACACATGGCACAGGGTAGAAGTTGTCTGTGGTATGTGTTGTGCTTTTGTTGCTAATGCAGTCTAACAAAGTCTTTCTCGAGCACCCACCGGTTCGATCTTCTAATTCCCAATCCTTGGGGGATGTGATGGTGAAGCCCTTCATACAGTCGCAGTTTAGAGCCACATTATCATTGCAAATTGCATAAGGTCCACAAACTGAATAGACATCACATGGACTTCTTGGCTGGGCGAAGACCTTCTGCCAGTCCTGTGAGCGCTCAGACCAAACTAACACCCTTACTTGGCCCGAGACGTCAATAACATGGCGAGTAATCCTCTTTTCTTGCACTAAGCTATATGTGTAGTACTTCTCATGGCCCATGTCGACAAATTTCGATCTCCAAATAATGTCTCGTGCCATCTCTGGAACCAAGGCAAAGTATTTGCCGTTCCATGGACCACTGTACCAATATGGTGCAGAGCTGCTCAGCGGTCCAACGAATAACTGGTTAACACCACTATGGTCTAACTCGTAACGATACCCACCAGTAGCTGGGTCGATTGAGTTCTTCCAAGAAACAATGCGGCGGTTGAGACCGGTGAGCTTGTCCCATCCAAGCTTCGCGTCTGGGAAAAATGTATCCGTGGGGTGATCAAAGCTCTGCCACAAAATTTCTGATGTGTTTGAAGAGTCTGTTAGGACGAGATTTCCACTACTCAACAGCATAGCAGTGGTACTATTTCTTTTGATGTTTGCTCGTGTACTCCAGATTATGGACTTGGTGGACCTGTTCAAGATGACAAGGTTGCCATCCTGGTATATTGTGAGCTCCGATGAGGTGATGTTCTTGATTGGGTTATCCCTATTTGCAACCCATGCAGAAGTAAATTTGGGGACTGTATTGAACCATATGCCGAGGTACCAGTTGTTAGTTGCTCCGGAGGATTTGCTGCTTGTGTTGAAGAAGCCAAGCGCGTACCTGCCGTTCCTGGAGACGAGCTTGTCGTTGACGGTGAGTGCTTGGCCGGCCAAGATGGTGTCGGTTGTCGCGGCAGAACATGCTGACATGTACAGGAAGAGGAGCAATGCGATATCTACGAGGAGATGCATGATGAACTGAAGAGGAAGGGGCGAGCTTGCGGGCGCAGAGGCCGTAAAATACAGGATGATTGCTCAATGGTCTGGTCATAGCAGTAAATAGCCGCGGTTTCAACTTTCAACAGTCAAACAAAACAGCCAAGCTAGTTGAATGGACATTTTTTCCGGTGGTGATTGTCAACCACGTAGCACCCACAGAAGGGCTGAGCTGGTCTGAGTTTGCATGGTGGAGAGGAGAGGAGTGAACGAGAAGGTGTGGACATGAGTTTTATGCATCTGGTTACCGGCCCACGTCAAAGGTATTTGCCATCACAACTGTTGCTATTAAGTTGCTATTTGTTTTCAAGCTGGCTGGTATAGTTTCTCACATCACATCAGCTTCTCACCGCTTTCTCTTTTGCAAGGCAGCGTGTTATTGCTGCGAGATGGACTCAGATGAGAAAACAGCCGTTTGGTGATACAAAAACGTGTTAGGTTCCCCTCAGCATACCACTTTGTTGTAACAGGTTATATGTTTTAGCCTCTTTTGGTATTTTGTTCTACAAGTAAGAGGGGACAGCAGGCCATCACGTATTTTTGTATAGCTATATGTACCAAACAATCTTGTACTCCCTCCGACCCAAAATAAGTGTCTTGAACTTAATACAAATTTGTACTAAAGCTAGTACAAAGTTGAGACACTTATTTTAGGATGGAGGAAGTACCTGTTATCACTTTCTTAGGGTCTCGAAATTCCAAAGGATTTTTATAATCCTCGGGAATTTTTTTCTCCTACATCACCTTTTAAATTTTGGTCTGTGGGGTGCTACTGCTAACAAACTGCCTAGGGCTCGCTCCCGCGACTAGGCGGGCGCTAGGTTTTCCCCCCACCCCTTCCGCCGCCGCTGGCCGGCGGCCTCGCGCCCCGCCTCCGCCCCCCTTCCGCCCTCCCCTTCCTTCGTCCAGGCCGCCTCGCGCCACCTCCCCGGGAGGTGGCCGGGGTGGAGCTCGCGCTCCCCCCCCC